CAGATTTTGCAGAAGATGCATCATTAGAACCCGTCTCCGCACATTCCTCCTCTGCTTGGCTCCCCAACTCCCTTTGCGAGCGAGCCGTCACTGACCTTAGCCGTGTGTCTGACCGTGACCTGGAAATTCTTAACAGAGCTTTTCCCGCACCCATAGGGTCTGCATTCTGATCATCTGTGCCCTGACTATCAGCGACACACGTGTCCGTCTTTCTACAGAATTTCTTGTTTTGAGCGCACTCAGTTTCCTGTTTGTTACATACTCTTCTCTGTCTTTTGTTTTGGGTATTATCTTGATGCCTCTTTTCTGAGGTCTTTCCAGTTTTCTTATTCTGAGCACTTTTCCCGCCTGCCCCCTTTTTTTTGGTTTTCAAACAGTCCTCTGAGTTTATGCCTTTCATGATCAAATCTTTGCTTTCCAGAGTGGATGTAATGTCTTCCAGGTGTTCATTTCCAGTCTGAATGTTTCGAATTCTGTCCTCTTCACCATTTTGTGTACTGAGGCCTTGCACTTGACTGTGACAATCCTCGTTTTCTAAAACAGTTCTCGCAGCTTTTGTGCCATACCTTTTCACCCTCGAACGGGTACTCCTCTGGTAAGGAGCAGTAAAATCAAAATCTTCTGCTTTCAGCGTCGTCTCCCCAGTTTTCCGAAAATACTCCACAAGTGCACTTCTCGATCTTATCTTATTTCCTTCAGGACTGTGGTATAAAAGAAAAGTAAGTTAGCGATGACTTCTTCATTCTCTCGCTCTTCACTTTAAAAACTGAGCGAGTGTTTAAAAATCCCAAATGACAAAAGCAGTTGACAGGGCGACGTCTACACAAGTTTCCGTGCCTTGACCAAAAAAGGTCTACGCAAAGGGTTCCCAGCTAATCCTGCACACACTGTGCACTGCATCTCCCGCGCTCCAGGTACGGCGCACACACCGGCGAGCACGGGCTCGCAGCACCGGGGGGGGGCAGCAGCCGTTTGCCGAAGGGGGGCGGGGCTCCGACCTTCCCCCCGCCCCCGCCCGCCCCCCC